TACTCACACCCAAGTCAAGGCCCAAGTGTCCAAGTCACAGCAGGCCCAGTCCCCAGGGAAACAAACAGAGACCCTGACAGACTCCATGTGAGATTCCTTCTTGAAAGCTGGGAGACATTTTTTAAATTAATGACTGAAGAGCTGAATACCAAGGTAACTAGCTTTTTAAAAAGAAAGCTATGGTGCTATTTATTCATGAAAGCTGTTGTGGTTTCCTTTATTGGATAGCTTAATTGTCAAGGCAATTGATGCATTCTAGAGAGACAAGAAAGAGGAGAGTGAAATAAAGGAGATTATCTGCCTGACCCACTTGGTACCTTCAAGGTAAAAACAAAACAAGAGAAAAAGCCTCAAATAGTATTGGCCCCTTAATGAAATATTCATGACCTGTGATGGATCAAAATGAAAAAAAAATTTAAAGTGGAGATTTTTCTCTGATGTTACCCTGTGTGGAGAGCATAAGGAATTGCAGGCATTCTGCTCCAGAAAGAAATAAGGAAGGCAGTTCTTAACATGTAGCAGCATATGCAGGAAGTACATCTCCTGGTTACCCGCCTGGGACGAGGCTGGAGACAGCAGTGCAATGGTGAGTGAGAGGGATACCAACAGGAAATTGCCAAACTTCTACAGGAGAAAGTTTGCCAGGAAATGACATCAGAGGTCTCAGAGAGGGCTGTAATACAGCAGACAGGAACTGGGGTGTGGAGGTTAAGAGCAATCACTCAACTGCTGCTAGAATATGCTAGAATAAGCCTAGTTCACCTAGGCTCCCATGTGCCGCACACTGAAGTGCATCATAGAGCAACAATGTCAAGGGCCCAGCAACACAAGCAAAATCACAATGCCAGCAACACAAGCATAGCTATTTCAGAATGTATCCCTACGAAAGGACTCAAGATGTAAACTTGGCCAGTACAGAGCATCTATGGCCTGTTATTAAAATAGCACCTCATTCTGAAACTATCCTAAGAGCAAATTCCAAACAGTCTGAAGCAGAAGAGTAATAGGAATGAAAAGGAGATATACTGAGAACTAGTTCCCAGTGGAAGAACAGTGTGAGGAATGCAAGCAGTTCACCAAAGGAGAGGCTCAAAAAAGGCACCTATTTGACCCCGAGAGCCCCATCCCCATGGACCCAGAACCTTGAGTGAAGGGCAAGAGACACTCAAGAAGGAGTTTTTAAAGGAAAAAACTATGGTGAGTGGACAGAAGTAACAGAACATGGATACCACTGAAATAAAAATGCCAAAAATAACAAAATATTTAAACACTCATGACCTCTCTCTTAACAGTAGTCTCATCTATGTTCAGAGAAAATATACTTGTTGGAGCCAGTAGGAAGCAAGCGCCTGCCAGCAGCATGGGGCCCCTGAGACCACCTCCCCCACAGAGATCACCAGACAGACCAGGAGCTGCATTTACAAACACTTTCCGAGTCGTGAAAGTTCCCCAGTGACAAGTTTCACTGTAGGGCTTCCTACCAGGAGCTGCATAGGAGTCTCAGAGCTGTCTTCATTTTCAACTTGACCATGTCACCCACTACAGTATGGACAGTAGGAGAATGAAAAGAAAATAGCACAGTGTCTCTTGCCATGAGCCATTTTTTAAGTGCTGAGGGAAAGTACAAATGGCCTAAGCATGACTTTAAAGGGCATGTGCTCACAGCCTCCGGATTTGGGGAAGGAAGAGGGCTGGGTGTGGCAAGGAGGATGTGCAGGTGACAGTGATCACTGTGAGTATGTCTGAGGAAAGTCTTGCAAGACCACTCAAAAAGGGGTGCTGATTTCGGTTACCCACTGAAGTGGTAGTGAAGTGAACGATCATGGCTTTTACAGTCAGATAGATTCTACTGAACTCTTTCAGGCCATTTCCTCATTTGCAAAAAAAAAGAGAAAGAACTCTGGTATGTACCTACTTCAAAGGCTGCTGTGGGGATTAAATGAAATAATGTGTGTGAAATTACATGACAAAGGGCCTAGTAAAGAGCAAAAACTGGGTAAATGTTGTTAAAGGGTATGTGTGTGTATGTGAGAGAGAAAGAGAAGCCTGGGAGTAGTGTAAGATTATCACCACCACTGCAGAGTCACTAAACACAGGAAAGGTCCAGGTTCTCCCCTCAAATATCAAAAAAGCAATTATCAACAGGAAGGACTGAGCAAGGATCCCTCACACACAAAAAAGGCATAACTGTGGGTGGCTTCTTCCCTCTACTAAAAGGACCATTCCATCTTACATTTCAAAAATTCTCCACTAAGTTAAAAAAATTCCAGGAGGTGCAGAGACTCCACCTTAGCCAGGCTGCCTTGCAAGTAAAGAAAACTCTCAGCCTTTGTTCCATCCAATAAAGAATCACAATAGAGGGTCAATTTGCAAGTGGGATGACCAAATCTGAGCCCTAGTTGATGGGACAGCAAGCTCTAGCTTTTATCCTTTCAATGGCCTGTTGAAGAGCCCACGCATTTTGCAGCCCATCTTCCTTCCTTATCTCAGCTGGCCACCCTCTATGGTCAAAAAGACACACCACAGGTCAAAGCCTTTTGCCCTCAATGGGCAGTGTGGAGGACCTCCATGATGAGAGATCCCAACTCAACCTTAATCCTCTGCAAATTAATTCAATCAATTAGAACAGAAAAGAGAATTTCAGAAGGAAGATTAGTTACAAAGCCTAAAGGGGGAGAGGCTTGAAAGCAGGAAGGGGGGAGGGTAGGAGGCAGGAGCATAGACAGCCTGGGATTTGGAATAAAGGTCAGTAGAGTCTTCCAATTACAGAGCATCCCAGGGCACCAACCACAGGCCTCTGACAGGAAGGAAGGGACCAGGACCCCATCCTTCCCATCTCAGCCGCCCTATCTCCCAGCCTATCCAATCCCTGTCTCAAGTATGGGCTTATACTGGACAGAGCCAGAATTCTTCTCTTTCCATAGGCTGTCACACATAATGCTTGGCTTCCTTCCTTTCCAAAGCCTAACAGATTAGATTATAGGAGTCCTATATCTAGTTCAGTAAGACAGATGGAAAACCGAAAGTAAGTCCACCAAAGGGCTCGAGATAGGAAAGAAGAAGCAAAGCAACCTAGTCTCTCGGCACCCAGATCCTCTTTTCCAAGCCCTAGAACTATATATAATATACTCACCAGAACAAGTAGTGCCACAGTAGTTCAGTGAATCAGAAGGGATATTCACTGCACTACACTCCACAGAAAGATCTAATTTAAGGTGTCCAAGTCTTCTAATGGGGGCATCACCCACCTGTCCACCTGCTCCGTGAAGAAGACAGGAAATCAGTGATGTGCCTCTGAATGCACACAACAGAGACAGTGCTCCTGTTGCTTGGGTCTTCCTAGCTTTCCAGCACTTCTAGCAAATACCCTGCAAGCCAGCAGTCAGACTGCTCTGGGGTATGGAACAGCTCTGGGGTACGGAACAGCTCGGGGTATAGGGCTAATGCTTTTCCCTTCCTGTGCAGAATCACTCCGACCAAACCCTGCAGGTCCTTCAACCTCAGTAAAATGTTGACCTGAACATGTTTCAGCACACTAAAATGACATGAGAGGATCTGCAGCCCCCACTTCCTTAAACAGAAGAGAGAAGAAAGCACCAACAAGGAAAAGCAGCATTTGCAAAGTCTCCACACAAGAGCAGGTGGTTTCCAAATCAATACCTATTTGATTATCTATTTATAAACTGAGCAAGTCTCCCACTCTGACAGCTAGAACTCCATTAGGGGTGCCATTGATACTTTGCAAAAAGTTGTTACAAATAGAACCCAAAGATACTTAGGTCTAATGGCAACACCCAGAACAAACCCTCACATAACCAAGTTGGTGGAACTAATTTCTTAAGCTTGAGGCACTGCCATAAGGCTCTTTTCCCTTTGGACAGGTACAATGTGCTTGCAGTCATTTATTCATTCAACAAATATTTACTTAGCAACTACTAGATGTCAAATATGGGGTTGGCCAGGTTTTAGCCTACAGCTAAACCTTTGCTAAGGAAAAAAATCACCTGCCTTTATGTGGCACCTGGTTTCTCCAACCAGGCAGAACCTCTTTTTTAGCACTGACTTTGGGTTCTAGGATGCTTGCCCCTGTCCTTCATCAGAATGTAAGCACGCTGAAGAAAGTGGCAGCTTTCTGTTCATCATGTGCTCCATGTCCTCATCCAATAACTGCAATCGGATGCAAGCGAAACAGAAAACAAAAATTTCTATTCTTCCTAGCTCTTGGGCTTTACTCTTCCTGAAGGCTTTCCCACTAAGAAAATGATGAAGCTCCAGAAAGGAGGATAAAGGGGTCATGGTATATATTAAGAACAACATGAGTAGGACTTGGGAAGTTCAGAGTGAGTGCCACCACCCCTCAGGTTTCTGAGGTGCCTCAAAGGGCCACAGCTAAACACCCCTGGAGAAAGCCTCCTCCCTCCCTCTTGTCTGCAGTGTATTCTCTGAAAACAAACAAACAATACACATTTGGAGTCCTACAGAAGCAAAGGAGGAGGGATAAGAAAAGAAATTCGAAAGGGAAGCTACATCTTGAGTCTATGCTCCCCAAGAAGGAAGGAAACCTTACGGGGAAAGGCTGAGGGAATAGCTGCCTCGGGGGAGGAGATGTGTTATTCCCAAAAGGCCGCCCAACTGTGCCTCCTCGCGGGACAAGCCTGGACACTATCCTTCTACAAGGCTTCATTTTTCTTCTTAAAACACACACACACACAACAGTCTTCAGAAGTAAGTAGAAAAAGGAAGCTTGTAAGGTAAAGAAGAATTAGGTGGGAGAAAAAGTGCGCGCTCCCCTTCAGCTGTTTTCCCAAGCTGGCACCAAACCCAGTTTCCCTTCAAGTCAGCCCTACAGCCCCGCGTTCCAGAAGCCCGAGGGCGCCGGGCAGACCCAGAGGAAAGGAGAGCTTTCTCCTAAGGGAGTGTTCTGGGCCTGTCACATAATCAGGTAATACGGGACGAGAAAGATGAGTCTCCATAGCCCAATCCGTACCCACGGGACTTGCCTGGGACGTTCTCTGCTCTCCTCCCCTACCTGCAGCCCGGGCAGTTGTTGCGGGACGGATGCCCTGCGCCAGAACCCGCAGAGAAGTTTCGCCGCTGCAAACGTGAGAAAATGCAGCTCAGCAAAACACCCGCCCCCACCCTCCCGCAGCCCCACCCCCGCAGCCCGACCCCTGGCGGCAGCGACCTTGGCCACCCCGGACACTACTGGAGATTGGAGGAAGGGCTGCCCTCGGGGCTTTCCCGGGGACTAGAGTCTGCGGCCAGGGCCTCCAGGTACTTGCCCCTTCGCAGCCAGACACTAAGGAGGACGCACCCACCCCCGCTGAGCCCTCGGTGCCCCCGCCCGGACTCCCCCTGCTCCCCCAGCCCTCGCCTGCCCCTGCGAACCCCCTCTGCGACTCTGCGCCCATGCCCGCGAGAGCGCCCAACTCACCCCGCCGTGCAGGGGCCGGGAATCGGGCAGGGTGGGTTACATTGGGGTAGAAGCGCGTCTCCCGCGGACTGGGCTGTAGCTCTCGGGGGATCTCTTTATCTCGCCGCAAACTCTCGGCGCTTGTCGCTCTTCTCCCCCCCTACCCCCCACCCCCTCCTTCTCTCTTGTCTCTCGGCTCTTTTTTCCGGGTTAATTACGTTTCGCATTAAAGCAAAACCCAGCCCCGGATGTGAGTACAATGCTCAGCGGAGCCAGCCGGGGGAGGAGAGGGGTGCCGGGGCGCCGCGGGTTGGGAGGGGGCGCGGCCGGGCGCCTCGGGCTGCGCGGAGGAGGCGGGGGCGGAGCTGCCCCGGAGGCTGCCCGCGGGCACCCACCAGACCACCTCGCTCTTAGTTGGCGGCAGCTCAGGTGGGAACTCCAGCGGCCGAAAAGGCCGAGCGGAGGGAGGCCCAGCCTCTTGAGCCGAGCCGGGGGCAGCAGGTGTCCAGAGCGTCCTAGGAGCCCCGGGCTGAGGGCATCTTACAAGATGGGAGGCGAGGTGGAGCGCGGGCTCCCTCTTTAATCCCATTTCTTCTTCACTAAGCCCCAATCGGCGACTTCAGCTGGGCCTCCCTAGGATCCTGAACCCTAAGACTTTCTGGGGCCACAGGACTAGCTTCAGAGTCTGGATCCAGAGAAGCTGCGTAGATTCTTCCGGTTTGTCCTGCATGTGCGCTAAGAGCCCGCTGGAGCCCTACTTTCCAATAGGGATATAAGAATTATTTTCAAAGTGTGGCCCAAAGACGCCCTTCCTGCCTCGGAGGGTGAGGGTGCTCTGGGGGAAAAAAAATAAAATGGGAAATACACAAGCACGCAGTAACTACAGCCAAAGGGAACTTAAGAAAACGACTGTGCGCTCGCGAGTGCAGCCCCTGCGTTATCTCATTTGACTCACACGGCATCCCTGTGGGTATCAATCCCGTTGACGATGAGGAAACCGAGACTCAGACATGAAGTAATATTCCTGGGTCCCACAATCAATGGCAGGTCTATCAGGTTCTGATTCCAGCTTCCCACGTGGGAAAATAGACATCTAAGTATGCATAAAGTCAGACACGCAACATCTGAAATGCAGGCACATAGTGGATTCGCCTCGGGAAGGAGGACCGCGAGACGCGGGTCCTGGGAATTCTAATGTGAATGCAAATTAGACGGTCCCGGTCGTAGAAGTCTTTGAGGAAGAGGAGTCAAGGACAAAGACTGAGTAATGTCAGTGACGGAAAGGCTGGTTCGCTTTCCAGTTTTGTAGGGGAAAGGCAGACCTTTCCAGAATCTCTAGAACCTGAGGTAACTAAGAGTAGGGGCAGGAGGCAAGCCCTGTGAGCTAGGGGGAAGGCTGAAGGACGACCGATAGGCAGCACACACCCCGAAATCTCCAGTGATGAAACTACCCAAGTTTCCTCTTCCATTTTGATTGCCAAAGCACAATGAGACACCCTGAGCTCTCAGGTGTGAAAAAAAGGCTGTTTGCTTTTGAGAACATTTTGCATTGAATGAGGAAGGAAGGGGGGACACAAGAAGAAAAAAAAAAGCCATTTCCTTTGAAATAAATATATCAACATTTTTGGGTTGGTTTATGTGTGGGTTTTTTTTCCGGCCTGAGACGATTTTTGCCACTCCCATAAATTTTAGGCAGCATAGAATGTTGAAGGGCATATTCTCCAGAATCAAATGGCCTGGGTTTGGATCCCAGCTATATTATTTCTTAACTTTGACCCCTGGGGGAAGCTCCTTAAGCTTTCATGCAGGTTTTCTAAATCTGGGTCATTATGAAGAGTAAATGAGTTAACATTTGTAAACGTTTGGATTACTGTGGAACATCAAGTAGGGGCTATGAAAATGTTTTTTAATTTAAAAATCAGATTACAGTTTACAGCATGAAAAGGAACAAAATTCCATCCAACGCTAAGGCACTCCAACTGGAACTGAAGGGGTTCCAGTATAAGTAATGAGGTAAAAGTCTCAGGTTTCATGGTATGGTTCCTATTAAAAACCCATAAAACTCTCCTCACCATGGGACCTGCCTGAGTCACTCAATCACAGAGCCACAAATATTTTCTGAGCACTACTATATTGCATACAATGAGGAGCCAAAGGCCTTGAGGCTTGTTGAGAGGAGACAAGTGTCCTGGACCTTCGAGGCAGCCTGTATCCTTCCTGGCAGTGCTGTGGGTGAGGCACTGAGAGTCAGTACTGTTCGCTTGCAGAACAACATGATTTCTGCGTATGGAAAGGGAAGGGACCAGGGGAGGTAGCGAAGGAGGGGATGTCTCAAGAAGGAAATGAGCTTAGAAATGACAGTGAGGGCCCACCCAGGTGGCGCAGCAGGCTAAAGCACAGCACTAAGAAGCTAAAGCCACTTCAGCATGAGTTGGATCCCCACCCCGGAGGTGACCCACATGGCGCAGCTGACCTCTCCTGACCCGCCCGCTGCTCCCTTCAGCAGTGTACTTAATCTGTCTGCCTGTTCTGCTCCCCACTCTGTCTCTGGTGAATCCTCTGCACTTCTGGCCTGTACCCCAGTCTGAATGCATAAATAAATAAATCTTAAAAAAAAAATTTAAAAATACTGATAGTGAGAGGACAGACACAATTACCTGTGAGGGGAAGTGAGAACATCTTGGGTGGAGGGGAAGATCGTCAGTACCCTTTGGATGATGCTAATATTTCACAGGAAACCTTATTTACTGCTCCATTTGACCCTAGCCAGAAGGTGACTCCAGCTGCACTACAAATTTCTGCCCTGCTTCAGTTCCTCTACTCCTGGATTTTGGGGTGTTTCATCATTTAACCCCCACCATCTCCTGCTGTATTGGGAACCACAGAGCAGATGTCACTTGTCCACTGTCCTCCTTTTGCTATCTCTTGACTGACACATTTTGAAAGTTATTTCCATTTTTCTGATTTTATGCATTAATTTCTTTTTCAATGCAATAAACAGCCCTGTCTGAAAACGTGACTGCCTGGGGGAAAAGGAATGTCAAAACAGGATTTTACCTCAGCTATTTTGGTCCTGTTGTCACATCATTGAAAGAGGAAATTCGACAACTTGCTTAAGGTTTTATAGCTAGTGAATGACAGTTGGTTCTAGAACCCAGGGCTTACCACACCCAGTTTCTTCTAGCATTGGTATAGGAAAGCTAGAAGATGGAGACTTCCAACCCAGAACCCAAGAATCTAAACAGAAAGCTTTATGCACAATGCTATCCATTTATTTCATGTACTTTCTATTCATTTTTAATGTTAATGGATGAGTAACTGGATGACCTAATAACCTTCAGTTGTGAGTGATGCACCTTCCCGGGAACTGCATTCCTCTCTATCCTTAGAGATACACATTACATAAGGCATCAGGCTGCAGTTGGGGTCAGTTAGTTTTATTGGGGAAAGTGTGGAGCTACAGGGGCCAAGATTCTTGAGTGATCCTGGTTCAGGCCAGTTAATTTTGCACAGAATCACCCCAAGTTACTACATTATATCTTTAATCCCACTGTTTTTAATAAATAGCACTATTGCTTTCAATTACAAAGTATGGACATTTTTGGGCCATCCATTTCCAGAAAGGCTACTCAGACTACTGTTACAATCAGTCCTACTCATTCAACAATTATCTGAATTTACTGCCATTTTCCCTCCTCTCTTTCATTTACTTATTTTCCAGGTAGTTAATAAATGCAAATTGCTTTATGTGTATTATCTCACTTATATCTTACAATACTGGGAGCAAAGTACTATTACTTCTCCATTTATAAAGTGACTAAAGCATAGAGAACAAATCTAGGTACAAAGTTATGTGACCTGATGTCAGAGCCTGCCCTCTTAACTGCTAAGTTTGTGAAGACTACAGAAAAAACAATTTCCCTTCATATTTTTAAATAAGTATCATTATTTAGAATATCCATTCCATTTCACCTAGCAATTTCATATTCAAATATGTGTCCTACAGAAAGTCATATCTTAGTAATATGTGTTATATGTGGGGTATATGTTATACTGGTATATATATACATCTATATTTCATACACACTCACATATATTTTACTGCAGCAATTGTATAATGGTGAAATTGGAACTCACTGTACTGCTCATCAATAAGTATTAAATGTAATAAGTAAATACTAGTACATCAATAGAATCATAAACCAGGCAGCTATTTTAAAAACTGAGATATACCACTATATGGGAAGAACTATTTTAAGTGGGGGGAAAAAAATGCAGAGCTGTATGTCCACATAATATAATCCCATTTCTGTAAATAAAAACTTTGTGCATTGATGACATGAAAAATGTTTAGAACATTACACTCCAAAGTGTTAAACCACAGTTCTCAGAACTTAGGACTTGGGAGGGGGAGTTAGAATGATAGATCTCACTTTCTAAGAGATGTAGTTTGAATTTTTCTTTTTCAAAAAACATGCATAAGCTTTGTTATCAAAAGAGGGCAATAAAAATTAAAAATTTTCATAAGAAAATATAAAAGCTCTATGAGGAAGCATATTGAAACCTTCCAGTCCATCACATAGTATGAAAGGGATTAATGTATACAGAAATAATTATCATAAAACTAAGAAACAAATACACGGGTACAAACAGAATTCTGTGGGAAAATTGTAACCAGCTGCAATTGAAAGGTGCAGGAGAAACTACATGAAGGAGAGATGGCACTCTGAGAAAAGGTGGGTTTCAGCTAAAGGGATTACCAAGGGCAAAGCATCAAAGTAGGACTGCAAGAGAAGTCCTACTCAGAGAAGCATGACTGATCCATTTCAGCTGGAGAACAGTGGACAGAGAAAAGCATTTCATGGGAATAAAACAGGGAAGGTGGTGTAGGATCTTTATTGATAAACTAATGAATTAGTAACCGAAGTAGTAATGTAGTGACATAGCAATAACTAATAAATAAGGTTAAATAATAGGATACTTATCACTTTAATTTCCCAAAGTCACTGAGGGTTGTTGACAGCATTAGAAATAAGTAAGCAATTTCACTATGACTGCTTAGTGACTGGGTCATAGGGTCATAGCACCAGACTGCAGGGTTTTCCTGATTCCCTTGATCTTCATAGCCATGGACCAGTCACTACTCTGTTTCTGCAAAATGGCGGTGATCGCAGATTA